AATAAAGAGAAGCCAGACAGAAAATGATTTCTAAATCAGCCTTTAGTGTCAAGCCATGATTATCTTTTTAAAATTTCTTTAAATGTTTATTTTGAGAGAGAGAGAGAGAGAGCGAGAGAGAGCAAGGGAGGGGCAGAGAGAGAGGGAGACACAGAATTCGAAGCAGGGGCCAGGCTCTGAGATGTCAGCACAGAGCCCATTGCGGGCCTCAAACTCATGAACGATGAGATCATGAACTGAGCCGAAGTCGGAAGTTAACCAAACATCATCCTCAGTGTAACATGTGTGCTGTAAACAGACTCCAGAGAAACCACTGAATTCTAAATGCCTGGGTATGGCCTGGGCGTGTCTATTCCTTGAAGCTCTGCTCTGGCATTGGCTGTCGGATGACCAGGTCTTCCTGTGACTCACCCACAAACCAGTAATGCTTTGGTGTGTGATGACCCCAAGCTAGTGAGAAGCAGCAAAAGTGAAGTTATTCTGGATGGAGTACTAGTTAAATCGGGCTAGGAGCGCCTGGGTGGCTCAGCCGATTAAGCGTCCGACTTTGGCTCAGGCCATGATCTCGTGGTTCGTGGGTTCAAGCCCCATGTCAGGCTCTGTGCTGACAGCTTGCTCGGAGCCTGGAGCCTGTTTCAGATTCTGTATCACCCTCTCTCTCTGACGCTCCCCTGCTCACACTGTCTCTCTCTCTCTCAGAAATAAATAAAACATTTAAAAAATACATAAATAAAACTAGTTAAATCGGGCTTGATTCAAGTAGAAAGAATCTATGGCCCAGGTACTGGACTATGTGCAGGGTCACAGACATGACTCAGGAGCCTGGCCCTCAAGAAATCTCAGGTTGCCTGACGAGACAGATAATTATTGCAGCCCTTAACACACAGGTGTTATAAAAGGGTTAACAATGTGCTCCTCAAACAGATGATACCACCCTGGATTTGTCACATCTCTCTGTCTGTCCCCTGTTCACACAAGTGCAGGCTCTCTCTCAAAATAAATAAATTATATATATGTATATATACATATATGTATATGTATATATCTGGAATATTGTATCAATCAGTGCATAAAGTTTTGTCTCAATATTTTTAACAACTGCATAGCATGCTGTTTAGATTAGTATATAGTGTTAAAATTACTTTGTTCTTTCTCAGGCATAGATTCTACTGAAAAAGATTATTTAAAAATCCCTTTATCAGGAGACTTTTTAGTGTACCTTTTAGTTTGACTACTGTGTCCCTCTTTAAGCAGACGATGATACCAAATCCGTCTTCTAAAAATGTTTCTGTGGGGCCGCCTGGGTGGCTTAGCCGGTTAAGCGTCCGACTTTCGCTTAGGTCATGATCTCGCGGTTCATGGGTTCGAGCCCCGCTTCGGGCTCTGTGCTGACTGCCAGCTCAGAGCCTGGAGCCTGTTTCAGTCTGTGACTCCCTCTCTCTCTGACCCTCCCCTACTCACGCTGTCTTTCTCTCTGTCTCCTAGAAATAAATAAAACATTAAAAAAAAAAAGATAAAAATGTTTCTGTGGGGCGCCTGGGTGGCTAGGTCGGTTAAGCGTCCGACTTTCACTTAGGTCATGATCTCGCAGTTCGTGGGTTCGGGCCCCGCGTCGGGCTCTGTGCTGACTGCCAGCTCAGAGCCTGGAGCCTGTTTCAGTCTGTGACTCCCTCTCTCTCTGACCCTCCCCTGCTCATGCTGCTCTCTCTCTCTCTCTCCTAGAAATAAAAAAAAATAAATAAAAACGTTTCTGTGTCTGGTTTCCAGAGATCGCAAAGATGGAGGACCCCTGAGAAGGTTCTATTTCTCTAGTTTTGCCATGTCATACTGGCCATTCAGGTTGGAGACCCTGTGTTCCATTAACTCTTAAGACATGTTCCAGTTGGTAGGAGTCTGCGGATATTTGTGAGGTAACTGATCCTTTGGGAAAACAAGCAGATGCATATTTGGCTGTAGTTTGAATTTCTGTCCTTATAGGGATGCCTGATTGCTCACTTGGAAGAGCATGCAACTCTTGATCTCACGGTCATGAGTTTGAGCCCGACACTGGGTGCAGAGATTACTTAAATAAATAAACTAGGGGCACTCAGCCGGTTGAGTGTCCTACTCTTGATTTCAGCTCGGGTCATCATCTCATCATAATCTTGAGATCGAGCCCAAATGGGGTTCTCTGGTGGGTGTGGAGCCTGCTTGGGATTCTCTCTCTCTCTCTGCCCCTCCCCTGCGCGCATGCTCTCTCTCTCTCAAAAATAAATAGATAGATAGATAGATAAATGAAATTAATATGTTTATTATTAATTAAGTTTATTTATTTAAACTTAAAAATAAATACAATTTTCCTCCTTACAGTCTTCCCCTTCTTTTGTTAATTAGACTAGCTTCAGTAAAATAATGGAAATGTCACACATCTGAATGAAAGTTTCCACAGTTCAAGACAGTTCTACCTCACAATTTCAGGCCATGAAACCTCATAGCTGGGTCTACTTCACAGCATCCCGGTCTCTATTAAGGGTCTGATTGTATATTTCCAGTTCAAGTGCTTAGAGAGAGAATCGAGCTCAGAACAATTTTTCAGACCAGGCAACAGGTCCCGTGAGTCAGGGCGCGGTGTTTTGCCTCCTCGCCTCGCCTGTGAGCGGGCAGTGTTGGTATCTTTGCTTCACCGTCTGTTAGCCTCGTCCTCATAGGCAAGTGGCCTAAGCTATCTAAGTTTGCTTGCTTGCTTCCTTCCTTTCTTCTTTTTTCTTTTTTCCCTAGCTTTCGTTTTTCTTGTGGAAGATGCGGCTTAATAGTATTACCCTTTTCAGAGGGTAAATTTTGAGGATGAAATTAGATTGCACATGTTCCAGGCATAGAGTGAGCTGAGAGTAAATGAGAATTATCATTATCCTTATTATCATGGAAAAGACACTGTGCTAGTTACTAGAGGTACAGAGACAGAAGTCATCGTGCTCCAGGATGGGGAACAGGGCAAAGGTGTCCTTGATCCCACAAGGTTAGGGCTACGACAGAGAGAACTCAGTGGAGGAAACCTAGTCCTCACTGTGCAGCTCCTACAGGCCGAGGAGTGAGGCTCTTTTAGGCTCTGGGCTGTATTGACCCGTCCACCTCCATCAGCGTCAGAATTCGGATGTGATGTGGTTGTCTCAGGTTTGCGTGCTCGTTTGAATTGAAAATTGTGTCTGACATGGGGCACCTGGGTGGCTCGTCGATTAAGCCTCTGACTTCAGCTCAGGTCACGATCTCGAGGTTCTTGAGTTCGAGTCCCACTGTCAGGCTCTGTGCTGACAGCTCAGAGCTTCGAGCCTGCTTTGGAGTCTGTGTCTCCCTCTCTCTCTCTCTCTCTCCCTCAAAAATAAATAAACATAATGTTTTTTTAAAAAAAGAAAGAAAATTGTGTCTGACTTACTTGTCATTGGGAACCCTAATCCATGGTTGCCCAACTCCACCTCTTATTACCTGTGTGATCAGTTAGCACTTCTTAATCCAACACAGCTTGCAGTTTCATCTACAAAAAATATAGAGATACCGAGGCACCTGGTGGCTCAGTCGTTGAACATCTGATTCCTGGTTTTGGCTCAGGTCATGATCGGGTGGTTAGTGAGATGGAGCCAGCACTGGACTCTGCGTTGACAGTGCAAGGCCTGCTTGGGATTCTCTCTCTTCCTCTCTCTGCACTTCCCTCCCCCCGCTATCTGTCTCTCTCAAAATAATTAAATAAACTTAAAAAAAATAGAGATTCTAACAGTAGTTAACACGGAGTTGTGAAATTAATGCCCCCAACATATAGTATTCAATAAATGTTAGCTATCATCATTTCATAGCATCATCTATCATTGTGAGAATGATTTACAAGGAGTAGGGTATATCCAATTATTATGGTTGTTATTGATGATTGATGAGCTGAGGGAGCGGGAAGTCTGGAGTGATTGCCCAGTCTGGCCAAGCATCCCTCCTCCCTCTTATAGGGCCAACTTCTAGTAGTAGTAATAAAAGCCCTACCTCTCATTTTCTGTTCTTTCCTCCAGGAACCCTCACCCAGTGCCCCAGCCAAGGTTCTGTCCTCAGCACATGAGCTGGACCACCTCACTCCGAGGCCCTCGCTACAGTCGGCCGGACAGATCACAAGCGCCTCTCCCTTCGGTCCTGGGAGCTACTGGGACAAGACGGTCTTTTCGGAATGCCCGGATCCAACCCAAGGCGGAATTCCACGGACTTCACCACCGCGCCTCGCCAATCGGGGTGGCCCCTCTGGAACATTTTCCTTCCCTTACCACCTACGTGTATAGGATTTCCCAGGGAGGGGGGCAGACCCTAGAACCTCGGACATTCATGGATAGAAGGAATTTTAGAATTGTTAGAATTCAGTTCCAACTCTTCATTTTACAGGACAGTAAAGGGAGACTCCCAAAAAAGGGAAGTAGCGAGCAAAACAGCAGACCGAGCCTCAAATCTGAGTCTACAGACTCCCGCCCGGAGAGAGGTCCTCGACACCCGCGGGCTGTCCCTGGTGGTGGCCTCTCTCACTAGGAAGGATCCCAAAGCCAGGGCGATGGCGGCCACTCGGGTCCGCTCAGCTCTGGGGACCGCTGGACGCGCTACTCGAGCTGCGGTTGAAAAAGGCTCTCGGTGGCTACGGGGCAGGAGAGCTCCCGGTTGCCCCGGGAGCTGGGAAGTGCAGGGAGACACCGGGGGGAGGGGGGTGGCGGGGGGGAGGTAATGGGAGGCGGGGCGGCGGTGTCCTGACCGGGGTGGAGCAAGGCCTGGTAACTCAGGCCTTGGAAACCCCCATTGGGCGCCGGCGGCCGCCCCCAGTCCTCGCGTCCCGCCCCACCCCCCGACCCGCCGAGCGCAGTGGTCCCCGCCCCCTGGAGCCCGTTCCCCCGGCAGCCGGCGCCCCGCGCAGTAAGCCGATTCCTCCCGCCGGACGTGCGGGGCCCGCAGCCGGTGCTCCCGCCTGACCATGCGCTAGGCTGCGGGCCCCGACCTCCCGCGGCGGCATGGCCCGGCCTGTGCAGCTGGCGCCGGGCTCGCTGGCGCTGGTGCTGTGCAGGCTGGAGGCGCAGGAGGCGGCGGCGGCGGGCACCGAGGAGCCTGGCGGGCGCGCGATCTTCCGCGCTTTCCGCCGCGCCAACGCGCGCTGCTTCTGGAACTCGCGGCTGGCGCGCGCCGCCTCGCGGCTGGCCTTCCAGGGCTGGCTGCGGCGCGGGGTGCTGCTGGTGCACGCGCCTCCCGCCAGCCTGCAGGTGCTGCGCGACGCCTGGTGCCGCCGCGCGCTGCGCCCCCCGCGCGGCTTCCGCATCCGGGCGGTGGGTGAGTGCGGGGGCCCGGACGGGAGGGTCGCCCGCCCCGGCCGCGGGGACGGAGCCCTGGCCACCGGGGGCGCGTGCTGCCCGGGCTCGGCTGTGAGGTCGCGGGAGCGGGAGAAGAGGGAAGAGGGGTGGGCGGCCAGCGGGCTGCTAGAGGAGGACCCGCCGCCTCCCAAGACATTTCTTTCTGCCAGGACACTGAAGCTCCCCCCCTCAACTGCCCCCCCCCCCCAGCTCTGCCTGGCCGCTGCCCTGGCCAACCCCGGGGTGCCTCTATATCCCAAGTCTTTCAGCCAGTGGAGTCAACAGGTTCTAGGCCTAAGGAACTTTTACTTAGGAAAGTGATGCTTTGGGGGAGCCCGGGGCATCGGGGTTGGGGTCAGGAGACAGAGGCCTCTGCCCCGCACCATGGGTGTGCTTAGGAAGGATACTGATTCTGAACTGGTTGCTGCCTTTTTTTTTTTTTTTAAGTTACAGGCTTGGAGCGGTCAACAGTCTGTGGTTTCCATGCCCTTCTGTACTGGGTGCTGTGGTGGTCTCGGCCCAGGGCCTAGTGGAAGGTTTGGGGTCATTAACTGCTTGGGATAAAGAAGTGACAAATGGTGCTCTGAACACAGCCCATCCCATTAGCCTAAATGGAGAGAATTCCTCCTTTTCAGTCTTTTCAGAGAGCCCGTTCGTTAAAAGACAGACAGCAACTTTTTGCTCGTGTAAAATAGCTTCATTTGAGAAACGAAAGCACTGTACCTTGAGTGGTCTTGGACACCCACCGCTAAACTCTGGAGGGTTTGTCAGCTGCCTGTGACAGTCTCGTTTGTTTGCATTTAAGTGGGGTTGTGACGACCATTTGATGGTGTGCTGTTGACAAGTCACCAGTTGGTTCAGCCCTGAATTCTGACTCCTGCCAAGGAACCACCCCCCACCCTCAGTCCATAAATCCTCCTCCTCAGATGGAGCAAATAAAACACATTTGTTTTAAGTCCCCAGGGAGAAGGGAGGTGGGGGGTGGGAGGGTAGCAAGAGGCACTTGATGTTCTTGTGTATCATCTGCTCAGAGATGATGTCTCAACATCCAGGGCCAGGTGGGCTAAATAAACCTTGGCTTTTCATCTCCATGCATTCCCATTCTGTCTGGTACCCCTGCCCCACTTTCATGGGGGGAGGGGGCAGACCTACTTTAACTCTTCTGTTAAAAGCAAAAGAGAACTCATCTGTAAAGCCACATACACACATTTCATCACCTTTGACTTGCAGGTATTAGTGAAGAAAATAGGTTTCTGACTCTAATAGCAGAGAGCCAAGTAGCCAAGCCAGAATTCTCACAGGGAAGGGGTCTTTCAGACAGGCTGGATGAAAAACTCTTTTCAGCTCTGTGTTCTCTGTTTTTCTGGTTTGAATTAGTGGTCGCATTCTCTCCCCCCACCCCCCCTTCAAAGGGTGAGCGAGAGTATTGTAGAGAAGGAGTGGAGGGAATTGGGTCTGGACCTGAGGGTGACGCAGAGCACTTGTGCTACGCCAGAGGCAGCCATGATGTTACCTCCTGGGGCCCGTCAAGCAGTGGGGGTGCTGGTTCTTGGTTTGGCCCTGTTTGCTGCCATCTGAAAAGTGCCATGGGGCAAAGAAAGTCCTGATGATGAAAGTCACCTTCCAGGAAGGCAAGGGGAGAACAGCGGTGCACTCTTGCAGGTACTGTTACCTTGTGGCAAGGATCAAAATGCTAGCAAAAGACAAAAAAGATTAGTTTGGTCAGATCAGTTCGGTTCCTTTGCTGTAGATTTTTTTTTTTTTTTTAAGGCTCATTTACTCCCATATAAAAGCATTTGAGCATAGGGAATGCTGCTGGCCAGCTCCGACAATGGGCAGGGGGTGGCCACCAGCATTATAAATCCATGGTACTCTGCTGGGTCCTTCTCCTGGGCTTCTGGACCTGGAACTCCTAGGGCCTCATAAAATATGAGGAAGGCGTGCCCTGGTTGGGCAGACAAGAGTGACTGGAGTTTCGAGTTTCTGGTGCAGACCCGAGTTTAAGGAGAAATTTATGTTTTCTCCATGTTTTGTGTCTTTTCTTTCCCTCTTCACTCTCCAAATCAACTTCCCTCTGGTGCGAAAATCCATTCCCAGGCATGATGGGCATGGGATCTTTAGCTGAGATGGCCAGGAGCTAACTCTTCTTTTGTGCTCTAGTCCTTCTGTCTTTGTTTGCTTGTTTGTTTTTAATAAGCAAGTGACATTAACAAATGAAAAGGGTGAGCTCTGGAAACTGGAGGAAAATATCTGCGCTGCCAGCTGAGCCACTGCAGGTGGTTAGGGGTGGGGGGCACCTGTATTTGTTAGGCTGAATCAGTTGTTACTCTGGGACCACACCTCCTGGTGTGGTGAAAGGTTAATGATAGCTTCTCAGGGTAAGAGAGGGAAGGCCACTTGGCCAAACAGTTTGTTCCTTTCTCCTGAAATTTATAGCTGCGGTATCCCTACTCTTTCGCACCCTAGCATGGCCTTCCATCTGTTATCATTGAATAAAAATGCCTGTGGCTCTTTCCAGTTACTTGCTTCATTAGTCCATTCATGTGTCAGGTACTGTTCTGGGTGTGTCTGTGTTTCAATGCATATTTCATTCAGAGCCTCTTGTGTACAAGGCGAAAATAGAGTCAGCCTATTTCTTCTGTATTCAGTTCAAGGTGTGATGGCTGAATGGGAGGATGTGTTCTAGAAGTTGGCTGGTTTCGGGGTGCCTGGGTGGCTCAATTAGTAAGCATCCGACTCTTAAACTTGGCTGAAGTCATGATCTCATGCTTTGTGAGATCGAGCCCCACATCTGCACTGTCAGCCCTAAGCCTGCTTGGGACTCTCTGTCTCCCTCTCTCTCTCTCAAAATAAATAAATAGAGAAGATGGCTTGTTCACACAGTCTTTTCTATCCCACTGTGACATTTGTGGGCACTACAGGATTGGTGTGTGATTTAGTTGGGCAAGAGTTCTCTGGCATGTGATTTGGGGCGTACTGAAGATCAGGCAGGTCAGACTGGTGAAAGGGAGGTAATAGAAGGATCTTTCCACCTTTCCCCATGTCCCTCATTCATCCGGATTTGCCTGAGACTTCCCTGGATTTAGAAATGATAGTCTTGCATCTTAGGAACCCCTTCAGTCCCAGGCAAACTGGGATAATTGGTTTTCCTAATTTGGGGAGAATTGACATTTTAGCAATCCATGAACATGGTATATCTCTGTTTGCATGTTCTTAATTTTTCTTACCAATGGCTTGTACTTTTTAGGATAGAGGGCATGAATATTGTTGTTAAATTTGTGTTCCTAAGAACTTTATGCTTTTGGATGCTACTATAAAATTATTTTACTTTTTTTTTGAGAGAGAGAGAGAGCAGGAGTGTGAGCAAGGAAGGGGCAGAAGGAGAGGGAGAAAGAGAATCTTAAGCAAGCTTCATGCCTAGCACAGAGCCCAGTGAGCCCAAGACAGGGCTGCATCTCACAACTGTGAGATCATGACATGAGCCAAAATCAAGAGTCAGATGCTTAACTGAATGAGCCACCCAGGTGCCCCCCATCCCCCCAGTTTTTATTTTTATCACCTGGTGCTTGTCGTGACAAGTGCACTCCTTAATCCTCATCACCTATTTCACCCATCCCCCCACCCACCTCCCCTTTGGTAATCATCAGTTTGTTCTCTATAGTTAAGAATCTGTTTCTTGTTTTCATTTCCTCTCTTTTGTTTTTGTCTGTTTCGTTTCTTCAGTTCCACATATGAGTAAAATCATAAGGTATTTGTCTTTCTCTGACTGACTTATTTCTCCTAGCGTTATACTCTCTGGTTCCATCCATGTTGCAAATGACAATATTTCATTCTTTTTTATGGCTGAGTAATATTCCATTGTATCTGTATACCACATCTCCTTTATCCATTTATCTATTGGTGGACAGTTGGGCTGCTTCCATAGTTTGGCTTTTGTAAATAATGCTGCAGTAACCATAGGGATTGCTGTATCCCTTTGAATTCGTGTTTCTGTGTTTTGGAGGTAAGTACCCAGTAGTGTGATTACTGGATCAGATCATAGGGTAGTTCTTTTTTTTTTTTTTTTTTTTTACAAATAGTTTGTCAAATTAGTTTCCACGTAACACCCAGTGCTCATCCCCACGAGTGCCCTCCTCCATGCCCATCCCCCCTCCCCCCACACCCATCAGTCCTCAGTCTGTTTCTCAGCATTCAAGAGTCTCTCATGGTTTGCCTCTCTCCCTTTCCCCCACCATTTCCCCCCTTCTTCTCCCCCTTGTTCCTCAGTTAAGTTCCTCCTAATCCTCCTATACGTGCAGACATATATTTGTCCTTCTCTGCCTGACTTATTTCGCTCAGCATAACGCCTCAAGGTCCATCCATGTTGCTGCACATGGCCAGATTTCATTGTTTCTCATTGCCATGTAGTATTCCATGGTATAGATAAACCACATCTTCTTGATCCATTCGTCTGTTGATGGACACTTAGGCTCTTTCCATGTTTTAGCTATTGTTGAGAGGTTTTTTTTTTAAGATTTTATTTTTACTTTTTTGGCTTGTTTTTAATGTTTATTTATTTTTGAGAGGGAGAGAGACAGAGAGAGAGAGCGTGAGCGGAGGATGGGCAGAGAGAGAGGGAGACAGAATCTGAAGCAGGCTCCAGGCTCTGAGCTGTCAACACAGAGCCCGATGTGGGGTTCGAACTCACAGACTGCAAGATCATGACCTGAGCCGAAATCAGACGCCCAACCGACTGAGCCACCCAGGCACCCCTTAAGATTTTATTTTTTAGGTAATCTCTATACCCAGTGTGAGGCTCAAACTCAAAACCCCAAGATTAAGAGTTGCATGCTCTACCAAATGAGCTAGCCAGGCACCCCATGGGTTGTTCTATTTTTAACCTTTTGGGAAACCTCTATACTGTTTTCCACAGTGGCTGCACCAGTTTGCACTTCCACCAGTGACGCAAGAGGGTTCCTTCTCCACATTCTCCCCAACACC